AAACAAAACGTGCCTTTTTTTTTTTTTTTTTTTTTTTTTTTTTTTCTGATTAAAACACATTTTTGGTGTGTTATAGTGGTGGTTGCACAAACCATAGTCTCTGCTCTAAGCCATTTTAAGGTCTCAGCAGCTAGTTAAGGATTCCACGATGTCCCAAAAGTCTGATTTTATTTTATTTTATTTTATTTTGTTTCCTATGTGTGTGTTTTGTGGTGTTTGGTTCAGTGGGAAACCCTGGCTGGCTCCTGAGCTCGCTTTCCTCCTGGTGGGACGCACTTTGGTGGCAGAGGGGGTACGTGTGTTCGTTTTGAACAGAAGAATAAAGAAGCTCATGTCTTTGAATTTTTCCCTCTGCCATCACTGTACAATTGCAATGCGCTATTGATTTCAGGTGCTGGATTCTCTTTTGCCAAAATTTCCTCAAGGAAATAACCCTTCTGCCTGCCTTCCCGTAGCGCTCACAGAGCAAACACGTGCTGTGGGTTGTGGTTTCCAGTAGCTTTACTGGCTTACTGGAGCATGGAATTAAAAGGGGAAAAAAAAAAAACCCTTTCTGGGTGAATACCATGTTAGATTTTGAAAGTCTGACGTCCATCTCTGGACAAAAGGATCTGCTAGTGCTAATTGAAGGTGAAACATGGCTGTGATGCGTCTCATTCAACACGATTTTCATGTTCTGAGTTTTCCAGTATCTGTTCACGGTGGTGGAATCGACTTTTCCCGGTTTGTTATAGCTTAACAGTGGCATGCCTTAACATTTGATCTTTCTGTAACAATAGCAACTAATAAATTGTTGGAGGTTTCCCAAATGGTACCAAGAATAACTAATTTAACCTCGGATCAGGAGGCCTTGGATTTTTCTCAATGTTTTATAACGCCTTTTCCACCGCCTGAGCTCGCTGAAGGTGCGGGGGGGGGTTTGTTGCCTGAAATTAAATTGCTGATACAGCAAAGACCTTTATGGAGCCGAGTCGTCTGTCAGCCTCTCTGGTAATTCGGTTTCTGTTCTTTTAAAGTTAGATTAGAAAAGCTGATATTAACACTTCAGTTGCTAACAAAAATATGAAAGACACTAATAAGCTTCACGATTAGCCTCGTTTACAGCTTACGAGTAATTTTGGTGTTGAGCATTTGTGCTTCTCGCTTTCCTCAGTTTGCACTTTCTTGGTGTTAGGGGAGGGATACGGGCATTTAAGTGATGCTTGTAGCCATAGGAAGGGTTAAAATTACTGGTTTTGTGCTTTTCCAAGGCCTGATGGTGCAGAAGGGCTGGGTGTGAAGAGGCAGGGCCAGGCCTGCTGCATCCAGCGCCGGGCTCACACTGCCACCCTGTGGGGCCTCAGCCTTCAGGCCCGGCTCCCTCCATCTCCCTCGGAGCAGCACGGTTTCTTTCACCTTTAAGACTTACTTATTTTATTTTTGAAGGAGGTTCCCCGTTACTAACTGCCTCTGGAGTTGTTGTGGTGGATTTTTCACGCTGCAACCCCCCCAGGCTCCTGCTCTGAGTCTCTGGGAGCTGGATTCCTTCCTGACAGGCCAGACCCACGGCACCTCCGTGCCCAGCAAGTAAAGCAGCCACCAGGCCAAAACCTGGAAAAATGCACGGTATTTGGTATTTAAGAGTGCATTTGATCATTTAACTCCATTATGAACTGATAGAGAGTTGTGGGTCCTTTTTTAAAAAAAAATCTTATTTTTATCTGGGACTTTATCCTTTAAAAGACTGAGGAGTTATTCCTGCGGTTTGTTAGATTTCCCTTTCACAGTGCTTTTTTATTTCGTCGAACAAGTTGGGTTTTTTGCAAAGAACTTGTAGGCAGTTAATGGGCTTGTTTTAAAAATTATTTGATTAGGGTAGGTACCGCATGCCTAGAAATTACTCTTTAGAAGTTTAAAGAGGGTTTTGTAGAAGGTATTGCTGTGCAGCCCCAGGAGCTGGGGTGCTGTGGGTTTTGAAGGAGCCGTGATTGTCCTTTGTGTGGACTTTGCAAAAGAAGGGATTTCCCACCAAAGTTGGCACGACGGACCCTAATGACTGTCAGTCCCCTTTCCTGTCACTTCTCTGGATTATGCAAATGCAGAGAGTCCAGAGGACTCTTTCCCTGCATAGATCTGAGTCGATGTTGGTCTTGAAACGGGTCCTACACACAGAGGAGGTTCCCGATAACGAGGGTTTAATGTGAAGATGAGGAGAAACGCCGTTAAGGTTGACCATCACCATGGCTCTCTGGCTGGTAGCAGGGTGACGAGGGGGTTTCTCAACCTCCCAGTGTCATCTTCACCATCACACTGCACCACAAAGCTTCATCCCAGTGGTTTAGCCTTGATTTTAGGATGTTTTTTATTAACGTGTGCGGTCATGGAACCACCTGATGCTGGGTTTTCCCACTGGGCAGCCTTGGTCCCACCACGGTGACTGGTTTGGCTGGAGGCAGGCGTGGAGCTGGTGGAAATCTCTGCCCGCTCCTCTGCCTTCCCCCAGGAGGAGGTGCTTGGGAGGAGGGCTGGCTCGCAGCCACCTGGAGGGAATTTATAACCAATTCAGAAATATTTCCAACCTTTACGTACACTAGGCCTTTTTGTTTGCTTCTCCTTGGCCAGGGAGGGAAGGAGGAGGGCGAAGAGACAGAACCGATGGTGACTTACCCAAAGTACATATAAGCTGTGGTGTGTTTAAAAAGAAAAGCAGTTTGTGTCTGTTATACCAGGGCTTCCCAACCTCTCTTTTGATGTGAGGTATCTTTTTTTTTTTCTTCTTCTTTTTTTTTTTTTTTTTTCTTCTAGGGAAACATACCATTGGATTTGTTTTGATTGTTTTATCTGGTTTTATTCCCTTAAGCTAAAATACCTGAAACCCCTTCCTGAGTTGCACTCTCTGCTAGTAAGGCTGGTGGTTGGGAAGCCCTGAATTCAGCTTAGAATGTAAGTTTTTTTGGTCCCCACCCCTCCTTTTTTTTTTTTTTTTTGGTACAGTGCTTTACCTCTGTTTGTACTGGACTTGTTTCATACGAAATGGTACCCTGAGGTCCTGGGGCAGCAGTTTGACCAGGTTCGATAGCTCACGATCAGGAGGAGTGTGTTCCCTTATGTAAGATGTCATAATGCAAAATTTAAATAGACTCAATAAAATGCATGAAGTGTTTCTTTTTGTGCTTGATCATCACTCCTTGGGTTTGACTCTTCTCACGGTGGGAACGTGCTGGAGTAAAGGATGGTGAATGTGGTGGGAATTCATTTCCTCCCTCCACCTTTTCCCTCCAGGCCGGGCAGAAAGGAAGGAGCCGGGATGGTAGAGTTTAACTTCTCGGAAGAATTTATTGCTCCTTTAGTACATAAAACCCAAGCAATAAATCTCACCGTGTCCCAGACTTCTGTAAATCTGTCCGTGGATAACGGGGGATACCAAAGCAAGTGTCTGGAAGTTGTCTGTCAAGTAGAAGTTGTGATTTTGATGGGTGCCCATCAGGAGCGGGGCTGTCGGGGCTGAGTCTCCCTGGAAAGCAGCGACGCTGCTCCCGAGCAGCTCTCACATATGGCTAAAAGCTTCGTCCTAAAATTAGTAGCTGATGTACGTCCAAATGCTTCCTTGAGTGGGAAGAAGGAAATTTTTTGAGGGCGTGGGGAGCTAGCTTTGTTTTTGGTGCTTCCCTCACCTCGGCTCCGTCCCCCGAGTCAGAATCGGGAGCCGCTCTGCACGCGATGGAACAAAAGAAGGGGGAGGAAGGTGATGTGTGGCTTGAAAACACGTGGGGCTGCGTGTTTTGGGTGCCTCAGTGGTGGGTAGCAGTGTCCCTGATGTTCCACAGCACGGGGAGCGGTGCTCCTGTTGGGTAAGGAGGAGAGTCCTGTCCTTTGAGGGTGGCAGAGCCCTGGCAGAGGCTGCCCAGGGAGGTGGTGGAGTCTCCTTCTCTAGACACATTCAAACCCACCTGGACACGTTCCTGTGGGACCTGCTCTGGGTGGACTTGCCTTGGCAGGGGGTTGGACTGGAT